TTGTAAGCTATTGTTGCTAATCTCTTACTCTGCTTAATTTATAAATTAAACTTTATATTTGGTATGCACATACAGAATAAAACACTGCATATAGGCTTTGTACCATCCACAGTTTGGGGCATTCACTAGAGGATCTGGAACATACTCCCACGGACAACTGGGGACTAAACAATGCACCATCTGAAAAACATCATCCTGAGAACCAGGAAGGTTTGTGAAAGGCTCCAAAAGTATGGTTCACAAATTCTTCACCCTTTCTTTTCTTTTGTATTTCAAGACATTGCAAAATAGAAGAAAGTCCAGCCCGTTTTCTGATCCCTGTGTGCACATTTCACATGATGTGTTGTTTGACAATAAACAAGGGGTGTGTGTGTGTGTGTGTGTGTGTGTGTGTGTGTTTAGTAACTGAAGCTAATTAGCCTTGTTGATATGTAAGTAGGATTTCAAAATCTCTGAGGCAGGTCCTCAGTGCCCTTTGAAAAGCAGGATCATATGTCTCTATTGTCTTTTCAATGAGAACCAATATACAAGTTTCTTCCTCCCTCCCTCCCTCCTTCTCTCTCCTCTTCCTCCTCCTCCTTCTTTCTTTCTTTCTCTCTCTCTCTCTCTCTCTCTCTCTCTCTCTTTCTTTCTTCATCTAAAGGACCCTATCACACATCATAACCCAGAAGCCAGCAAGCATTCTGCCTCAGGGCTGCTAAAATGGGAACATGATGCCTACATGCCTTTCTACCCATGCACAGATTTGAAATACACCACCATCATCACCACCAACAACCTCAAAGAAAGAGTCTGCTCCACATCCTGTTGTATGTGTTCAACAAAATCCTACACTGGAAAGGAACACAATGGATTTCTGGTCTACCTCTCTCCTTCCAAAGAGAGCAGACAATAAAACTTCTCTGCTTCACAATTATACTGTTTCCCACTGTGCCATGACAATCATGTGTGTTCATGGACCCTTCCTTTTGTACTACACAAGCTTCAGATGTTTCTACTACCACACTTTTCATTGTGCAGTTTTTCCTACTCAGAATTTCTTTCCTCCTGCTCAAACAAATCCCATCTATCCTTCCTGATTACACCCCAAGCTAAGCAGCTTCCCCAAACTTGACAGCCCCTGCTCATCCTTCCCTCCTTCTCAGAACTGAGATTAAGCCCATTAAATCCATGCAACCCCTTGCCTCCTGCATGCTGTTTAGTAGACAGTCAATATGTATTTACTGACTGACTTTCTAACATTTAAAAAGAATAGTATTTGTAAGAAACATTAGGATTGCGTTTTAAATTACCTTTCCCTACAGGATATATATCAAGGAGTAGTTAGAAAGGTTTGGCACTTTGTCATAAAGATATTTAAAACATGTAATTCTTTTTTTAATATTTTAGTTTTGGATGGACACAATACCTTTATTTTGTTTATTTAGTTTTTTAATGTGGTTCTGGGGATTGAACCCAGTCCTTCACACATGCTAGGCAAGCGCACTCACTACCACTGAGCCACAACCCCAGCCCTCAAATCGTGTAATTCTTAAAGAAATTAATATTAAGCTATTGATATCCATATACCAATATAATGATGGTAGATGTCAATGGTGTTGGTTTTTCTAATATACTATCCTTTGGGAGATGCTCATTTTAGGCAACTGAATTTTTATATTTATTAGATAGGGCAACTGGGAACATCTTCCCTAGGAGAATACTGCAGTAGGTGCTCTCGTGGAAAGAGGATCTGCTTGCAATGTATTTATTGCCTTGATCCACAGTCAATCCACAGACCTGTGTTGGTTGCTGCCCCACAAGATTCTCTATCATCCTCTCCCAGCCCTTTCTCTCCGACTTACACCCCCCACCCCTTATACCCTCTCTTTCTTCTTATCCCCACCTTTGATTAATTATGTTTTAATGGGATCATTGAACTTTATAACTTGGAAAGAACTTGAAGATTACCTATTCCAGAATATGTAATGAAGAAAAAAAATAATGTTCTTCTGATCACCCTATAGAAAAATGAAAGGGTTGGAGCCAACCCCCAAATCTCTGTTATCCAAAGAAATTAGGAGTTCAAGGTCTTAAAACCTTTAAACTACCTAGCTCAGTTTCATTTCCCCTGTCCCCAAACTTCCCGTCTTCCACCAGATCCCTCTGTCTCACCATTGAGGAACTTCCCTAGGCCCTCAACACCAAGCTGTCTTCCTGCTATAAACCAATTCCCCAGGGCTGTTTCATATTAATCCCACTACTTCTCTTATCCTACTTACCTATTTCATTATTTATTCCTGTTTTTCTCTTACCCAACACCACATCTGTCAAAACCACATATCCTTTATTTTAAACTCTTCCATAACTGTTCCAGATAAAGTTACATATGACACTGAAGCTAATGGTTATAACCACCACACGAAGTCCTGTTCTCTCTATCTAGAAGGACAACGACTTTTCAGTCTCCTCTTGCATGCTGTATATAATGTGCTGAAAGAAGAAAGTTTTTTCTTTAAGTAAGCAGGTAATTCATCAGGACACAATATCAAGCAAATTATTATGCCTACAAGTTAATCAGGGAGCATGCATACCACAGTTCTTTGGCACTACTTATAAATGCCACTCTTCACTCTTTACCAAAGATGTCAGTATCATCTCTAATTGAAGCAGGGAAATATTGATGAATGCAAATGTAACTTCTTCTGTTCTTATCAAGGTTATAAATGGAGAATGAGGTGGTCAAAGCAGAAGACCAGATAAAGAGGATACCCGTTAAAAAGTCCAAATAAAGCAAAACTAGCTGCAGGATGCAAGTATGTTCTGGAGGCCAGCTGCACAGAGAGTTAGGGTCCCATCACTAATACTGAAATGACTCTGGGCACACTGCCTAATCTCTGTTCAGTCTCTTCATCTGGTCAACGGGGACAATAAGAGCTCCTACCTCACAGGGTTGTCATGAGGACTAAACAAGCTAATATTCATAAAAACACTTAGGACAATGCTAAGAACATATACTAAGCACTATTTAAATGTTTATTAACCCTCTGCTTGAAACTGTGTTGTCAACCACACTGGGCATCTGCTGATCTCCAAACCTTATAAGTAGCATCAGGACTGCAAACATGGTGATGGTTTCCATCCACACCACAATGCTCTGCATCCTCCAGGATGAATGGACTCCCTGAAGGTCATTGTATAGTCCCTTCCTTTTGGCACATGGCAGGAATATACAGCTAGATCTCTCAATAATGGTCCCCACTGCAGTAGCCACCACTCATGGTGAGCAAAGATTTCTTTGCCTTAGCAGACAAGATAACCAAAATCACAAAATATTTTATGTGCCTACACATCACAGATTCTACCTGTAGCCCAGTACTGGAATTTGAGCAATAGGCTACCCCCAATGGAAACAAAACAAAGGGAGAAGTCCAACATATTGCATGCATCTTCTTGGGACAGGACTCGCTGTACAAAGCAAAACTCTTCAGAACTGTCCAAGCTCCCTGTCCTAAGTACCTCCTCCTTTTCTTTCTTAGTTTTACTCTAATCAGGCTCTCAACTATACCAAATTCGATCCTCTCAATGTCACCAAACAACCACCACTCTGCTAAACCCAGTAAGATCATGTCTTCTTCCACCTCTCAGGAGCATTGACTGATAATACAGGTTGAACATGCCTAATCTGAAAATCCAAAACCCATATTACAGCACAATCTGAAACTTTTTGAGCACCAACACATAAAAAGTTTGAAACATCCAAACATTTTTTGTCAGGGACTCTCAGCCTGTACCTGCTTCCCCTGGTTGCTTTCTTCTCTGGGCTTCTAAGCCACCCTAATCTCCTGGAGTTTCTCTGATGGTTGCCCCTTGCTTCCCAACCTCCCTAAACTGGGGTTCCCCAAGGCTCCTTCCTTGACCTTCTTCTCTTCAACATTAACATTCACTTTCATGGTGAGCTGGTGTCCTCGTGTGGCTCAAAGTACCATTTCCTCCCCACCATTAACTCTCAAAGGTATACAAGCCCAGACCCAAATACTGAATTTCTGATTCATATGTTCAACTGCCTACTCACTAGGATTGATCCTCCACTTGGATGTCTAATACAATACTAAATTGAATATGTCCAAAACGAAACTCCTGCCCTTCCCTCCCAACCTATGTTTTCCCCATCTTAGTTAATGACATTCTCTACCTCCCCTTCCTCCTTCACCTTTTTCATCAGCAAACCTATCACTTCTACCTTTAAAAGCTATCCAGGATCTGACCATCATCTCCAGCTTCCCTCTGGTTGCGTGATTCTCCCCAGTTTTGAAACACCCTCTCAAACAATTCTCCTGCTTCTTGCCTTGACCCACAGCATTTTCTAAAAACAGCAGCCAGAGAAATATCACTCAAATGGAAGTTGGATCATGTCACCCCCTTGTTCAAAAGCTTACAGTAGCTTCTCATGTCACTCAGAAAACCCAAAGTCCTTGTAAATACATGGCCCTATGTAAGTTGAGAGGCTCCCCCTCTCCCCAACAGCTCTTGGACTCTTGCTCACTCCACTCCAGCCACACCAGCCTCCTTGCTATCTGGACTCCTGCATTACTAGGTCTTCTACCTGGAATTCTTCACCAGTCATCCACGTGGTTTGCTCCCTCATACCTTTACATCTCTCTCTTTTTTAAAAAATTGTTCTCATTAGTTATACTTTCACATCTCTGCTTAAAAGCTATCATCTAGCTGTCCCTTAAAATGCTCCTTTAAAATTATAAACTATACTTGCCTAGTACTCTTTATATCTCTTCCCTGACTTATTTTTCCATATGGAACTCATCTTATTTTATGGCTGACTTGTTTTGCTTACCTCCATTAGAATAGCTATTTTCACCTTTCCCTATTACAGTATAAACTCCAGGTGGGTTGGGATTCACGTCTGTTCTTTTTCACAGCTGCCTTCTAACTGCCTCATAAGTAGAAACTCGGTGAAAACTTGATGAATGAATGGGAATAATGGATCACCTGGTTCCTCTTACCTAAGACAGTCATCACTGTCTTCATGAGCTTCATGGGTGTCCTCCGGCGGCTGATGGACCCACTTGTATGCGGAGACAAGACGTTGGTTTTCCTCTTGACGTACATGTAGATCCGCAGGTACACCACCACCATGATGAAGAAGGCCACAAGGTTGGACACAGTCCAGAAAATGAGGTAACTCCTGCTGTAAATGGGGGCCAAGGAAGAGCAGGCAGAGATGTTGCAGAGGCAATTCCAGCCCAGTGTGGGGACTGCCCCCATGAAGATGGCGATGGCCCACACAAGCAGAATGAGCAGTGTCACCCTCTTTTTAGTCAGGTTGCTGTGGACTCGCATCCTCATGATTGACATGTGCCTTTCCACAGCAATGACCAGTAAGTTGGTCAGAGAAGCTGTCAAGCTCGTGTCCAAAAGCCCCTGACGGAGAAACCAGCGGTTGACAGTCAAAGTTTTTGAAACTGGGCCAGTATTAAACATCAGGAATACATAGGCAATTCCAGCAAAGAAATCTGCAGCAGCTAAATTAGCCAACAGGTAGTAGAAGGGGAAATGGAACTTTCTGTTTTTGATCACTGCTGCGATGACCAGAGAATTAGAAAAAAAAATGAACAGGCAGAAAAATGTTCCAACACACAAAACAATCACAAGCTTTGTTCCTGTCCACTCATCGGGAGTGTCAGTGTTGCTCCTATTATAAAAAAAGTCCATGCGTTTATCATAGTGACACTCATTCATTGTGGAGAAGAGTTGAACATCCTAGAAAAGAAATTTAAAGAGAAAACAAACATCACTCTTTATGAAATTAGTCACTAAGCTACCAATTACCACTGCTAGGTCCTTTCTTCTGGCTAATTCCTATTAATCTTTCATGTATCAACATAAATGTCCCTTACTCTAATACACTAGTACTCAACCTCCTAACCCAGCAGTGAGCTTGCATGTTAGTTATTGGTTTCCCAGGTTAGGCTGCAAACTCAGTGAGGGAGGATTTGTGTTTATTTTGTTCACTATTATAAATAACCTCAGGATCCAGTTGCCCTGCCTGCTTCATGACAGGTAACTGCTGAGTGGCTGGCTGAAGGAATGACTGGATGATCATGGAGGCGTCAATGTCAAATGCACTGAGTGCTACAATATCTACTCTGCACTGGAAACAATTACCATACAGCATAAAACATTAATGAATGCTTCCCCATGGTGGTTTCTAGCCCACTTCTTATTTATGGAACACTTTTTGTTGTTTGTTTGTTTGTTGTTTTTGTGGTGCTGGGGACTGAACCCAGGATCTTTTTACATGCGAGGCAAACACTCTACCAACTGAGCCATATCCCTAGCCCCTATGGGGAGTGTCGATTAATCAAGGGCAGGTTGGTAATACCAGGCACATTTCTGCCAAGATAATGGGTGATGAGTTATTCATCACATGACCAAATGACTTCTCAAAGAGATCAAGTTTCTGCCACTTTTGATTCTACTCCAGATCCTCCTCTGACCATATTTTAGTCTCAAGATACAATTACATTTTCTTATTAAGCATGTGGTATAGGGAAGGAAGCTTGGGTCTCAATACTTTTTCCTTACCTTTTTTGTTTACTTCTTTCTTATAGTTTCCTAATCCAAACTATACTAATGTGAGTTTGTTTACTGGATTTTCCAATTCAATCACTTCAGGTCAGTCCCCCCACCCTGGCACTCTCCTCCAAATAGGTGTGGAGCATGAGACAGACCTCCATGGCAAGACTGAAACCCAGAGTTTGGACAGAAATCCAACTCAGGATGGATGTGAGAACACACCTGCCAAGTAGGGGGAAAGTCCTTGGGGCAAGTATGTGAAATTGGACAGACAGGGAAGACAGAAATGCTCCCGGTACAAGATCTCACTGATCTAAAAGATCAATGAGATTCTGCCAAGGGAGGGATGAGCAAAGGCTCCAAGGACCCCCATTTATCTATGATTGGTGGGGAGAATCAAGAGTTCAGCCTCACAGTGGTATGGCCATAGACAGGAAGGGGCCTATCAAAAAGAGACTGGGATTTAAAGCCAGGAGTCTACCTCTGGGTGGAAGGACGGTGAGATTCCTCCCAAGGAACAAGGCTACAGCTTATTTACTGGATAGCCAGAGACCCAATAGGCCCAAGTGCTGAGCCATCTACTTGTGGGAGTTAAGTGGCTCTAACAGCAGAATGTAGTTGAAATCTTGGCTTTTAAAGGTTCTGAAAAATCTGGAATCCAATACCACATCCAGAATCAGGATAAGCAGACCAAATAACAATTTTAAGTTAGAAACATATCTCAATCTACTTTCTAATTTATATTTTATATGGTATAATGATACTTTTAAATGAGTTAGACACTTGCTTCTCTTTCATGCAAATGGTAGATAAAATATAATTGTATAAGATTAAACAAACAAGGAGTGGTCTCAGGAGACAAATGGTTATCATGGCTTTCAATTACAAAAAAGGGGGACTCAGTTTTAATAAATACAAAACAAAATTGCTTTCTTTGGCAAACACCTGCCAATATTTAACTATACATATCCAGTAACTTCATACAGTAGGCCAATATAGCTATATTATCTTGTGATAATTTCCCCAAATTAAAAATACAGATGGTATAATTTTAATAGCTTCATAATATTTCCTTATATTAGTATATTATACTTTATTTACTTATCCCTAAATGTTGGACATTAAGGTTGTTCCCACGATTTCACTTTTGTAAACAAAGCTACGTTCTTTTTTTTTTTTTTGGTACTGGGGATTGAACTTAGGGATAATAGACCACTGAGCCACATCCCCAGCCCTACTTTTGTATTTTATTTAGAGATAGGGTCTCACTGAGTTGCTTAGCCCCACACTGTTGCTGAGCCTGGCTTTGAACTCATGATCCTACTTTCTCAGCCTCCTGAGCTGCTGGGATTATAGGCATGCGCCACTGTGCCCAGTCCAAGCTACATTCTTGAGCATTAACCTTTATATGTGTGAGCAATTCTTTCTTTAGAAATAGTCCATAGATTTCAAATTGATATAAATATACTTAAAGGTTTGTGATACATTTTGCCCAACTGTGCTTGAAAGGGTTCATATTTCTAGTCCCATCAGCAGCATAGGAGAGTTAATAGAGGATACTAATCTAGTGAAATTTAATTTAAATATCCAACGAGAAAAACCATCTTTCAACCATGTTGAACGTATATAAAAATTTAAGACAAACAATGCAAAACCAGCAGCTATGATCTGAATGTTTGCATCCTCTCCACCTAATGCATGTTGAAACTTTTATCTCCATTAGTACTAATAGGTAGGGCCTTTGGGAGGATTGGGTCATAAGGGCTCAGTCCTTGAAACTAGATTAGTGCCTGTGGCTATAAAAGAGGCCCACTTATTTATCTAAAGTAAGTAGATAGACATATAAACAATAGTTTGAATCCCTTTTTTGCCATTCTACCATGAGAAGACACAGCAAGGAGATTCCATCTTTGAAGCAGAGACCAGGCCCTCACCAGACAAAACAAAATTGCTTTCTTTGGCAAACACCTGCCAATATTTAACTATAAATATCCAGTAACTTCATACAGCAGGCCAATATAGCATATATTATCTTGTGATAATTTCCCCAAATTAAAAACAGATGGTATAATGTGTATTATACCACATGTGCTGGCACCTTGATCTTAGAGTTCTCAGCTGCCAGAAAGTGACCAATAAGTTGCTATTGTTTATAAATTACTTAGTATAAGGTATTTTTGTTATAATGTTAGTAATGCTAACACACCACATGAGAAATTATAACGATACAATTTTCATGTGTCCTTTCACTAATTAAAAATAATTTATGTATTTTATTTTGCTCTAGATAGCTAGGAGGAACATATTTCAATGTTACATTATCTTTGACTAACTTATCTGAAACATCTCCATTAAAATGTCACAAAGATTTTGGAATGCAGATGTTACCAAAAAATACTGTTAAATTTTTTTTTCTAATTTTTCAAAGGGATCTTAGCATTTTAGTTTTGGTTCTTACATTTGGTCAAATTTGTAATTGTATGATGCACTAAAACCTCAATGACTGTTACTTCAAAAATCTTCAAATTCAGCTTCCCCTCATCAAAACCAAAAATTGTACATTCTTAGACACATTTTAGCAAACTTTGTCCTAAGACTGACAAGTAGTTTGTTGAGAAATCACAGAAGACCAGGACTCTCACTAAGCAGTCCCTCCAACAGCCAGCCAGCCCAGATTCTACCTTTGAGAGAAACAGGTAATGAGAGTAAGAAAGTTCTTATTGGGAACTGATTTTAAAAAAATTTTCACAGAATTAAAATACTATGCAACAAATAAATACATGCTTACCATGAAGCGGCAATACAGGAAAATGAACGTCATTATTTTAATTACAAATACAAATAATTAATGTATATACATAGAGAAACACACATTCAGTTCTGTGTATGTGTTGACCATCTTTTAAAGTTATAGAAAAAGGTAAGGAAAAAAAAATCCTAAAATGTAAACAGTTAATTAAGAAACATGAAATTTTGGATTATAAATTCTTTCCTGTGTTGTTCTTTTCTGTGTTTTCTATAATTAGTAAATAAACAGAATTTTAAACATTAGTTTACAAATTCTGTCTTAGGAGCATCCATTCTGCTCAATGTAGTCTACCTTTATTGTAGAACAGTAGTTCTGAAAAATGAAATTCCATGTTCAAAGGAAAAGATCAAAGATCTGCCCATGTTCATGAAATCCACTCTTATCAACACAGCACTTTACAGTTCCAGTAACAATAAAAAGAAACTGGTTTTCTACTTAAAACTTCATATAACCATAAAACTTTTCTTGCTGGCAAGTGAGTATATCAGGACATAACTTTCATCAGTTCTCCTATAAACCATTTCCTTAATCACCCCAGATCTCCCAAAAATTAGTAACTAAAAGTTTTACAATGAGTACTTATGATTTTTTTTTTCCTTCCTTGGCCATACACTACTAAGCCTATGGTCGGTTCTTGCTGACAGTCTCTACTATAGATGATCACATTTTTTAAAGCTGGAGTTTACTAAAAACTTTAGTGAGCTTATAACAAACGACCAATTTATCATCGCTTGACCTCTCTCAAACCTTAAAACATGATTCTGTGATTTAAAACAATTTAATAAGTTATTTCAGTCCTAGCCTAAAGTTCTCCCCACAAGATACCTTCTCTAACCAGTTCAAAGCAGCCCTATTGCTTTCTGAGAGCCCTGGTTAAGTTTCTATGCAGCTATGCAGCTGTATGTGTGTTGCCCAGGATTTACTTTGGCATTTACCCTTATGATCCAACTCCCACTGCTAGACCACTCTGCTCCCTGCCTATTATACTCTCTTGGCAGCATCAGTATGTTTTGTGTAAATAAATGAATGATCCTCTGTCCTACACAATTCCGCCCACCCCCATTTCAAGTGAAAAGTTTCAGCTAAGTGCTTTGCTGACTAAATGACAATTGGAGAGCTCCCTCACTTACTAACTATGTGTTCTCAGGTGAGTTACTTCATATCTCCACTCTCTTCTGACTTTTAATTACTACTGCTTGAATTCTTTACTCTGTGCCAGGTTAAGCATCTAACCTGGATCAGTTCATTTGATCTACCAAAAAAATAATGTAGATACTATTATTACTCCCATTCTGCAGATGAGGAAACCGAAGCACCTGTCAAGGATCAGACTTCAGGGTAATGGAAAAATTTGTTCAAGCATAAACATATGTTT